TGATTTGGCTCACAACACACTGTGAGTGAGCAGTAAGGCTCCAGGAAGACTTCCCTTTTTGGCAGAGATTGCCTGTGGCCAGTTTTTCATCTTAAAACAGCCCCTAAATGGGCAAGTCTTACTTTGTATCAAAGTTCTTCTGATATAGTTTCATAATGCAGATTCGATTCCAAATGATGTAGTTTTGGGATATAGGTGAGGTTTGATGGGGTGAGGTTCAGAGCCAAGGGCCAAGAAAGAATTCTTGAGTCTTCGGTGCAAAAAAAAAAAAAAAAAAGTCTTTGGTTTTATTCAAGCCCCGGGGCGGGGGCGGGGGGGGGGGAGTGGCGGACAGGACTCATGGGCAGGAAAAGCTGCCCTGGGGTTGTGGGTGCCTGATTATAGACTTTGGGGTTGGGGGAAGGTAAAGATAAAGGAAGTTTCAAAAAGATTTTCATATCTTACAGGATATCAGAGCCTTGCCATAGTCAAGTTAGGGTTGTTTTCCCTTCTAACAAGTCATTAACATTAAGATAGCGGAGACCTTCCTGGAGGAACAGGACACTCTAACAGCTTCAAGTATCCATCAATGGGCTGCAGGTTATAAGGACATTTAATTTTGTCTACATTTCCTTTTGAAAGCTAGGTTATTGATAAAAATGCTTTGTTCTCATGAATTACTAAGACATTGGTAAACTGAGGGAGATTCATGTCTTGTAGGATTGTGATCTCTATAAGTCAACTATTTGTTTTTTCCTTTCCTTAGCTTTAGGGCAGCCAGGAGTGCCTGAGGAATGTCACCCAAATCCCACCTGGGGGGTGGGTGCTGGGTGTCTGCTCTGCTTTCTCCTCAGCTTGACTTCTGCTTCCTCATCATTTCCCATGCCACCCCATCTCCACTCACTTTGGATGTCCTTCACTCATATTTACATACAAACAATGGAGGGAATATTTAATGTGTAGGTAAGGTACCTGTGGTCCTCTTTAAATATGTATTTTTTTTCTAGGCCTTGTTTCTGATCTACCCAATCTGGATTTCAGAATGCAGGGCCTGCTAATTTGCATTCTATCAGAGGACTCAGATCTGTTGGGATACAGGCCATCTGCTACCATTTGGGATACCTGTGGATGATGTCAGATCAGTAAGAGGATGCCTAAGGTAGACACTACCAGTCCAGAAAAATTGTTTTCTACTGCTATAGGTTCTTTGGCTAGTCTTAATAGTTAAATTGACATGACAGATGAGCAGGAAAGAAAAAAATCCATTTCGTATGTGTAGGAGCCCCATTAAAGTATAAGACCCAGAGGCAGGCAGGTAGGTGAGGCTCAGGTTTCATCTTCAGCTGACTGAATGGGGGTCTGGAAATTCAAAGCAATGAGGAGGGATTCCCAGGAAAACCAGTGCAGATGGTTGATAATCTACCTTTGTCCTGCTCTGCAAGCAAGTCTCTCAGATAAAAAGTTATTTCTGATAACAGCTGCCTTTTGGGGGAGGCCCCACATCTAAATTCTTTCAGGCAGTTAAGGGAGTGGTAAAAGTTTTCCAGGAGTCTGCTGGGTCTCGATTGCTCAAAATAACTGACAAGCCAAAGTGGCACGTTTTTGGGTGGTATTTCTTCCTTCCCTTTAACATATTTCTCAGTTCTGAAAGAGCAAGTTCCTGGGCAAAAGCAACCTCATTACGAACTGGAGTTTTGCAGTGCTGACTTAGTGTTTAGCACATTTGCAGAGAACTAAGCATGCTTTTGAAAGAACCACAGCTACCACAAGAAAACCCACTGATTTAGCCTTTTCACAGGAGAAACAAAAGAGGGACCTAGACCTCCAGTAACTATTCGGGGGGGGGGGGGGGGGCAGCCCTTTTGATGGGATTGTGCCAAAGGGATCTGAGCATGCTTTCCCTTGGGGCTCTCTCAGCTCCTGTCCTTCCCATCTGCCAGTTCCAGCTCCCCTGGGAACACTTCCTTCAGTGTCTGTCAATCAGACATGGCCACAGAACTAAAAATGCATGCGCTGTTAAGATACCTTTACTATCAAATTAGATAAATATGTATTTAATCTATAAGCAAGCCCTGAATCAGCATAGTTCAGGAAGCTGCATGCAAGAACAAGATTTGTGAGAAATTCTCAACTTTCTATCAGAAAGGTAGGGCATATTTACCTCATGTTGGCTATTTCTCTCAATTCTGAAAAGCTGGGGTCCAGGCTGATTTTCTTTCTCCTTGTGGATGGGAAGCAAAGGACAAAAGGCTTTTACCCAGAAAGCTAGCCCTGAGGTCTGTGCTTTTATCAAACAGGAAATGACAACGAAACTGATGCCATGCTATCTAGATTCCCTTCGAGGAGAAACTGAAACTGAATGTGTCAGAGCTGAGGTCACCCTCCCCTGGGAACAGGGCTCCTCACAAACTGGAGGTTTGAGAAAAGGCATTATATATCCAGGCCCTATTCCCAGAGCTTCTGTTGAAGTCTGGGGGTGGGCTTGGGCTCAGGAATCTGCATTTGTACAAGCCCCTGGGAACTCTGTACCTGCAGAAGCCCCTGTACCACATTTTGAGAAGCATCCTTTCAAGAGGATTTTGAAAAGCGGTTTCCCATGTACCTGTCAGAGATAATGTAGTGTATTAACCGGTGAGTCAGGCAATCTAGAATAGAGAATGACCACAAGACATCTGGATTTCTATCTGTCACCAGCTCTGGAATATTTCTTACATGGTGTCCTAAGCCTCATTTACTTATATTCAAAATGGCCTTGAATGAATTTACTTTTTCCTTCTATCCAAATTATAGGAAGCTATGCCCTGGGGAGATCCACTTTTTCGTTCATCTAGGGTATGGCACTGTGCACTTTACAGAGTTGAGTCTCTGCCAAAGACAGTGGTCCTTGTTCTCCAAATTGGGATCCTGAGGGCCCAGACCTTTTAGTCCTTTCTAATCCTCTAAAGTGAGCATCATGAAAAGCATCAAGACAGTCCATCATTAAGATGCTCCACCCTCTTGGGCTTTACACACAGAGCTATGAGATGCCTAGCACTAATGATCCTGCTCCTACATCTACTCTCTTGGGCAAGTAACTCGCCCCCTGGACCCCAGTTTGCTCATCTAGAAAATGAGACTAATAAAAAAAATCACAGTTCTTCCTTCCTAGGGCTATTGGGAAGGCAATATGAACATGTAAAGGACTTAACAGAGTGGCACTACCAACTGCTGACCATGCAGACATTGTTACCACCACCACAATCACTGGCATATTCATGCTGTAGTTTTAAGTGAATTTTTTTGTGGGGCAGAGGAAGGAACCCATCAGCCAGCCAGCAGGTGCTGGGGTCTCCTCAAGTGCTTTTCCACTTTGGCAATTTTCAGCCCAGCTGGGGAGAAACAGCCCCACTTGCTCCTGTCCTTACAGTCTCTGCAAACAGGGCAGCTTGATGTGGACATCAGTTTACCAGGGTCCAAGAGCCCTCTGCACTCCCAGACTTCCTCAGGTCAGTGGCTCTGAACACACTCAAACACAGGTCACCATAAAGCTTCTTGGGCAAACTGGCTAACAAGGCGCTGGGCAGGGCCAAGTTTTCTGGTCAACTCTACTCATGGAGATAAATGTTTAGAAAAATGTAACCTGAGGCACTTGATAGTGACTTCCTCTTAGCCAGCACATCCCCAAATATAAGCCACAGAGCACTTGGGAGCCTGGGGTGGGGAGTGGGGGGGGTCTTTCTTAATCCTCACTCCCTGAGTGGTCAGTGGGATCCCCAAGGGTGTTTGATGGGAACGGCTTGTTCTTCTCTTAGCTCCATCTAATGGCAGGACTTAAGGATATCTACATGCATTTGAAAAAGCCAAATTTGTGGGGCACCTGGGTGGCTCAGTGGTTGAGTGTCTGCCTTTGGCTTAGGTCATGATCCCAGGTCGAGTCTCCCCTTTGCCTATGTCTCTGCCTTTCTCTCTGTGTCTCTCATGAATAAATAAATAAAATCTTAAAAAAAAAAAGAAATAAAAAACCAAGTTTGCTAAGATTATACTTTACATACAATAAAATGCACACATTTTCCAGTGTAGAGCTTGGTGAGTTTTGACAGATGTATATACCCAAGCAACCACCACCACTATCTTCTTATAGACTTTACATCATCCCCAAAGATTCCCCAGTGTACCTTCCTAGCCAGCCCCAACCCCCTCTCCCATCCAGGCAACCACTGACCTGCTTTCCATCACTAGAGATTACACCAGTATAATTTTTATTGGTGTTCAATTTGCCAACATACAGAATAACACCCAGTGCTCATCCCGTCAAGTGCCCCCCTCAGTGCCCATCACCCAGTCACCCCCACCCCCCACCCACCTCCCCTTCCACCACCCCTAGTTTGTTTCCCAGAGTTAGGAGTCTCACAGAGATTACATCAGTATTAAAAAAGATTAGGTCACTATGTTTTGAAGAGAGATTGGTTACTGCTCCTCAACTCTCAGCAGAGAAATAAATACAAACCCTAAGCTTCTTGTTTTGTTTTCCTATAAGATTTCTGGGAAAATGCCCATCTGTAAGAGTTGTTTCCTCTAGTTCCCACCTTGGACTGACCCAATGTTTCAGAGCAAAATTCCTCTCAGCAGAAGTTGAGTTTAGTACTAATTCCATCTTTAATAATCTGCTGAAAAGAAATACATCTTTTCAAAACAGCAAGAAGAAAGCCCCTTAGTCCTTTCAAAGGAAACAACCACCAAAAAGCCCATAAAGAGTAAATCCCCACAAGGTATAACTTTGAATCTGCAGACTGTGCTCCAGTGGGTCTGACATTCCTGCAAGCCTTTCTGTCATCCAGACTCCCAGCTAGAAGCTCCACAAGCCTGAGTGGAGTGTGTCCACCAGAAAAAAAACAAACCCACAGACATAGGAAGTGCCCCCACTTAGAAAGGCAGGCTGCATCCAAGAGCAGCCACCTACACAGGACCCTGCCTGCACCCAGAGCTGCCTTTACAACCTGCATGCGAGATCAAGGGCGCTGACACATTCCTGTGTCACTGACCTCATGTCTGCAACTGCTCCTCTTCCAAACTGAAAAGCGGGGTCCAAGCAGATTCCTTCTTCTGAAATTTCCCAAGTCTGCCTCAAATCAGTGCTGGAGCAGCTATATAAGGGGCTTGCAGGAGGCCATCAGCTCATGTTTTCTCTCCCTTTCTGAGCCATTGCCTCAGTGAAAGGGAAGGGAAGTGGAAAGTGAAACTGATTCAGCTTGAGAGGAGGAAAAGAAGACTTAAGGGGGCAATCTGTGATGACTCAGTCCTCAGTCCGAGCAAGTCCAGCATGTCGTTTAAAAACGTGACCCTGAAACTTACAGTTGGAGAGAACGTGAAAGCACTCCCTGAATCTGACCATAAATCTAGGGCAAGTCCCAAGAAAGGGCTTTCTTTTCTTGCAAGTGAACATTTTGTTTATTCTTTTTGAAAACAGCAACAAAAAAACCTGTTAAAATAATAAAATCATTATTATTAATTATTAATCACAGGTACAAGACACAGGAAAAATATTATTTAAATAAATTATTTTTCTATTGAAAATGAAAAGAATAATGAAAAACCTAGAATGAGAAAACACAAAATGTAAATGTTCTGGTGTTTTGTGGGGTGTCATCTTGACTATCCCTAGTATTGAATCATTGTGAATCAAGGTGTTACTTTGAAGGCATTCTGTAAACATGACATATTCAATTGACTTTTTTTCTCAAAATTAAAAACCTTTTTTTTTTCTTTTAGAGGGAGAGAGGGGCAGAGGGGCAGAGAGAGAGAGAGAGAGAGAGAGAGAATCTGATGCATGTTCGACACCCAGTATGGATCTCATCACAGGGCTTGATCTTACAACCCTGAGATCACAGCTTGAGCCAGTCAAGAGTCAGCCACTCAGCTGACTGAGCCACCCAGCACCCCAAGAATTTTTTTTAAGTGTAGTTGATGCACAATATTACATTAGTTTCAGGTGTACAACTTGGTGATTCAAAAAAAATGTATACATTAGGCTGCACTCAGGAGGAGTGTAGCTGCCATCTGTCCTGTTGCATCATTATTACAGTATCACTGACTGTATTTCTTATACTCTGCTATTTATCCCTGTGACTTGCTCATTCCCTAACTGGAGGCTGTGTCTCCCTCTTCCCTTCACCGGTTTGGCCCAACTTCCCACAGCCTCCCGTCTGGCAACCATCAGTTCTCTGTATGTATAGTTCTGATTCTGCTTTTCATTTGTTGATTCATTTTTTAAAGTTTCCACTTATGAGTGAAATTGTGTGGCACTGGTCTGAATCTGATTCTTTCACTTAACATAATACCTTCTAGGTCCATCCATTTCTTCTCAAGTGACCTTTATTCCTTTCTTCTTCTCTTCCTCTCTTTCTTTGTGGGTGATGAATTTCTATAGTGTTATGTTTGGCTTTCTTTCTTTTTATTTTTTATGTGTCTATCATAGGTTTTGGATTTATGGTTACCATATATAACATCCTAAGTAAATAGCAATCTATATTAATTTGATTGTCATTTAAGTTCAAATACATTCTGAAGAACAAAAAGAAAAATATTTTTCTTTTTTTCTTTATCCTTTTCACTTTCTCTTCCCTTTTCCACATTTTATGTATGTGTTGTCATATTTTAGGTCTTTTAATTATAGTTTCCCTATGTCTAATTATGGCCATTTCTTTTCCACTTAAAGAAGTCCCTTTAACATTTCCTGTTAGGCTGGTTTAGTGATGATAAACATCTTAGTTTTTGTTTGTCTGGGAAAATATTTATCTCACTTTCAAACCTGAATGATAAACTTGCCTGGTAGAATACACTTTCAGCACTTTGAATATATCATGCCACTCCTTTCTGGCCTGCAAAATTTTGGCTGAAAAATCAGCAGATAGCCTTATAGTTTATCATTTGTAGGTAACTTTTTGTTTCTCTCCAGCTGCTTTTATAGGATTCTCTTTTTATCTTTTTAAAAAAAAATTTTTTTTTAAATTTTCATTTATTTATGATAGGCACACAGTGAGAGAGAGAGAGGCAGAGACACAGGCAGAGGGAGAAGCAGGCTCCATGCACCGGGAGCCCGACGTGGGATTCGATCCCGGGTCTCCAGGATCGCGCCCTGGGCCAAAGGCAGGCGCCAAACCGCTGCGCCACCCAGGGATCCCAATTCTCTTTTTATCTTTAACCTTTGGCATTTTAATTATTATGTATGACAGTGTGGACCTTGAGTTCATTTTATTAGTGACTTCTGTGCTTCTTGAACCTGGATATCTGTTTCCTTCCCTAGGTTAAGGAAGTTTTCTGTTATTATTTCTTCAACTAGGTTTTCACACCTTTTCCCCTTTTTTCTTCTGAGACCCCCTATAATGTGAATATTTGTTTCCTTGATGTTGTCAAAGAGATTTCTTCATTTATTTTTAAAAATTTTAAAATTCTCATTTTAAAAAATTCATTTCTCATTTTGCTGTTCAGCTTGTGTGGTCTCCATTACCCTGTCTTCCAGATGGCTGATATATTCTTCTGCATCCTCTCATCTACTGGTGATTCTCTTTGGTGTGTTTTTTATTTCAATTCTTGTAATCTTTAGCTCTGACTAGTTCTTTTTAACATTTTTTTTAATATTTTTATTGAAGGTCTCCTTGAGTTCTTCCACTCTCTTCTCCAGCCCAGTGAGCATCTTCACAATAATAACTTTAAATTCATCAGATGAGGTACTGGCTGGCTTCATCAGTAGTAGAGTATGTGACCCTCAATCTCAGGTTCATGAGTTCAAGTCCCATGTTAGAGCTACTTAAAATTTTTTTTAAATTCCTTTTTTTTAAAGATTTTTTTTATTTATTCATGAGAGACACACAGAGAGAGAGAGAGAGAGAGAGAGAGAGATGCAGAGACACAGGCAGAGAGAGAAGCAGGCTCCATGCAGGGAGCCCAATGTGGGACTCGATCCAGGTCTCCAGGATCAGGCCCTGGGCAGAAGGCAGGTGACAAACCGCTGAGCCACCCAGGGATCCCCATTTTTTAAAAATTCTTTATCAGACATGTTCCTTATCTCTGTTTTGTCTAGTTCTTTTTCTGAGATTTTTTTCTTGTTCTTTTTTTGTAGCATATTCCTCTGTCTCCTCATTTTGCTTGACCTTCTTTGTTTATTTCTGTGGATTAGGTGGAATGGATATTTCTCTTAAACTTGAAGGACTGGTCTTGAGAATGGTGTCCCCTGTGTAGATTGTGTGCTGGATGATTTTTTGTTGGCTGGCTGGAGCTGTGGCTGTATATGCTAGGCATTCTTTTAAATAGTGTTTTTTTAGAAATGTCAGTCAGAGAAAGACAATTTAAGATGAACATAGAGGAAGGGAAAGAAAAATAAAATCAGATAAAAACAAAGGAAGGCAAACCATAAGAGATTCTTAACTACAGATAACAAACTGAATGTTGCCAGAAGGGAAGAAGATGGGGGATGTGCTAGAAGGGTGATGGGCATTAAGGAGGGCATTTTTTAGGATGAGCACTGAGTGTTATATGTAAGTGATGAATCACTAAATTCTACTCCTGAAACCAATAATACACTATATGTTAACTAACTTGAATTTAAATAAAATCTTGGAAGAAAAAACAATAAACAATGGTTTTCTACAGAAAGAAGAACATAATGGTAACGATAATAATAATTATAGAAAAAGAAAAGAAAAAAGCAGAAAATAAAAAATGAATGAAGAGAATAAAACAAAACGAAAAAGAACAAAAGTTAAAACAAGACAAATTTTTAAAAATTAAAAAAATAAGCGGTGCCTAGGTGGCTCAGTCAGTTAAATGTCTGCCTTTGGCTCAGGTCATGATTCCAGGGTCCTGGGGTTGAGCCCAGAGTCAGGCTCCCTGCTCAGTGGGGAGCCTGTTTCTCCATCTCCTTCTCCTGCTCCCCCTGCTTGTGCTTTCTCTCTCTCTCATTTTTTTTCTCTCTTTCTGTCAAATAAATAAAATCTTTAAAAATCAAAAAAATAATCTTTAAAAAATAAAAATTAAGAAAAAAATTTAAGACAAAACAAAACAAAAAAGAAAAAAATACCCCACGGCTTAGTTTCTGTCTTCCAGCACAACAGAGGTTGGCATTGGCTTGTGGACACCACACCTGCTGAGGCCATAAGCTCTCTGGGATGACTGGACCCACCATATACAGCATCTGGACCCTGTTCCACTCTTGGCTCTTAAAGTGGAGAGGGAGAGTGGATCCCCACAGCTCCTTGGCATTTTTCAACTCTGGCTTTTTTCTGTGTCCCGGTGAGAACAGGGCTGCTGTGGCCTTGTGGATGCTGGGCTTGTCATAATTCCTGTGGCAGCTGGACCTGCCTGTTATGGGGTCTGCCTCAGGCTTTGAGGTGGAGTGGGAACATAAACCACATTGATGTCCAGTCCCTGGGCCCCAGAAAGTCTTCCTACAAATATTCTGTAAAAAGTAGTTTCTTTCAGTAAATTTACTTGTGGGAGACAATTTGCATCTGGAGACCTGGATTAATTTCACATGTTCCGTTTACTAGTTGTGGGATTATCCATGAGTCAAATCACTGAGTCCGAATTTCCTTTTTTTGCCCTACACTAAATAGAGCAACACACCAGCCCTGGAGTGTGTTGCGATCTGTGAGGTCTAAGGCAATACTTTTGTTTTCCCAGCTATAAAATGGGAATAGTAACCCATGTATTATTGTTTAATGGCTGTCTGATAAATTCATGTATTTGTGCTTCAAGCTCTGAAGGAGTAATATTATCCTGAGAGATTTAGAAAATTTTTTATAAAATTTCTAGCCATGATGTGTGTAACCATAAAAACTGAGGGAGTATAGTTCTCATGGTTGGTTTAATGAAAGAATGGTCAGTTAGGAGAAAGGCTCCCTCCATTCTTGAAACTACAGAAAGCAGACTCTTGTGTAACAAAACTGGCATATGGTTTTTCCAACAACAGGAGTATCATGAGATATTTTGAGTCCAGAGATTCTTGTTGTATCTAGTGAGAGTCACCTGCAACTTGGACAAGTCTGTCATTCTGATTGGTTATCTTACTTAACAATTGGTTATCCTGGTAGGAATAAAGTGACAAACCTTTATAAATGGTACACATACTTGTGATACTATAAAAGATATAAATATTACTCTTAGATCCAGGGAAGAGAGGCCACTGGCTTTGGCCCTGTT